TCTTATTTAAACACAACGAACGTTTTAGCTGTGTGTTTCATCAAAGTATCGATTTTTTTTGTTCGTCTTCTTTTTTACATTATTTCGTCTTTTAGCATTGTGGTATTTTCCGGTCATTTCAGACGTTCTCTAAACTTACGAAATAAAACACAATAAAATAACGAAAAAAAAAAAGAACAAAACCCCCCAATGATTGATCGTGATACATGATGGAAGTCTTGTACTGACAAATAGCGAGCGTCTGGTACGGATATATACATGTAACGTTGTCAAGCAATTGATATGTATATGAATTTTACGTTTGGTGATCGATTTCGTGAAAATAGTTCAGCATTTCCAATAAATATTTTTGAGTCAAATTCATCCCTTGATCACTGTAGTCATTCGTTTGATGACCCTTTTGAAATAACATTTTCTCTCATATTTTTAAGTGATTCCGGTAGACCTGACTGTGGTGTTAGAATCGTCCACTGAAATCACCACTGAAGAGTTCCAAGCGATGGTTAACTGTACGCAGCGACTCCTACCTCAACTATATGATGTCAGACTAGCTGTAGTTTGTTTCAGTGGTCCGACAAATGTTAAATTCAAGCTTAATGAACATGGCAATGTTTTGTCACAGATAAAAGCACTTCAGGAACTAAGTTGTAATGGTGATGGAGCGAAAAATCTTAAGAATGCTATCGTGGAAGTCCATGATAAAGTCTACAACGGATCTGATGGAGATAGACCGGAAGGAAGAGACTTGATCCTCATCATTATGAAATCGGATACCATCTGGACGCATATGTTGGCGTTGGAGGCGGCTTCCGTAAGAGCGGCCGGCATTCATATTATCGCCGTAGGTCAGACGCCATTAGGTGTCGGAAATGACATTTTAAACATGGTTGTATCGGAGCCTTTGGAAGAAAACAAGCTGAACGTATCTTCAATTGAAGATTTCATAGGTATGGACACACAAATTGCAGAAGCAATCAACCTCAGTCTTCTATGATGCATGCATAGTTTACGAACTTTGAAAATATGAAACAAAGCAAAATTTGAAGATTTTACTGTATCAATTGAAATTTTACATTATTACGAGTTGTGTTTTGTTTGTTTTTGGTATTCCAATGATATGTTGCATGTTCCGCTATATCAGTAATGTACGGATGCCTGCTATGTGTTGATTGTTTCTGGTGTTTCAGTTGTGTTTGAGTTGTGTTGTAGTTGTATGGGGAAACGCGGGATCATCTGTAGGAGAACATATTAGAATGATATTGGACACCGAGCTATCATTAAAAGAAATTGTCAAAACAAGTGGGCAAAATACACATAAAGTGATCAATGGCCATTCCTCCTGTCAAAACAACAGAGGGAAAGGCCGTGGATCACTCTCAATACACTTTCTATTCCATACGAGTGTGTGATCCTCGAGATTTACATCAGAACATTTTGTTTCAAAAAAGAAATAATTCTACCCATTCATGCTCCAACATTAATATATTCACTAGTGAAAATCGATGAGTTCTCGAAAATGAACGAAATACACTGCATATATTTAAGACATATATTATTATATATTACAATACATGTATACCTACATGTATACTAAATTAACTGTGTGTTTCTAAAAATATTACTTTATATAAATATAATTTGATATTTATATTAGACTACTACATGTAGTTATCTATATTTCTCCCACAACCACTATAGGTTTCCTCACTCCCGATTCATTGAATAAACCTTCTAGGAGTTGGTAAACATGTTTGGTTACCCACTAGTGAGTTACACCCTGGACGTGATTTCATTGGTCTTTTTCTTTACTTATGACGTCACGTCACAATGCTTTGATACGTCATCTTCTATTATGACGTCATGATTCACGGCAATTGTTTCTCCCCATCGGAAACTTTAAGGGAAACATATGGCCTTCCAGATAAAATATGAACATTATGGGAGAAAGTGGACCCCAAACTCGTGATGGTAGGTTATCATGTTTATCTAACAATCGTTTGTTAATTTTCAAATTGAAAGAGACACTCAGTAAACCTCGTGCCTTTATACAATTGGAAAATTAACTAACTCGAGTTAGATAAACAAGATAACCAATCATCACTCGTTGGGGAACCTCTATATTACCCACCCCTGCATGTCGGGGATCTAGAAAAGAATACACCTGCTGTTACCCACCGTATGCATCGTAAGCGGCGACTAATGTAGAATCCCCTGCACAATTAGGGCTTTTCTTTCGTGCCCTCTACTTGGGGACATAAAAGCGATCAAATAAGTATGCTGCACCAATTGCAATAGTCGGGATCTGTATATTTCTGTCTACCTCTAACGTGTTTTTCATAGCGCCTTGCTCGGGAACACCTCACTTCTGGCTTTAATGTTGAGCGTTCGCCCAGTTGAGGAAGGCAATGAGTTCTGTCCCCAGGCCGGGACATACCAAAGTCCTTAAAAATAGTAGTTGTTATTCCCTGATTAACGTTCAGCATACCCTGCATCCAGGACACATACACACATGCGCGTCTATACAACACACATGGAGGCACGTCCTTAAATGACCTTAGCTGTTAATAGGACGTTTAACAAAATAAAATCAAAACCAAAACTAAACTAAAATTAATTGTAAATTACATTATAGGTAATTGCTAATTATTCATCATAAAGTTATTAAATAGTCATAATTAATTGCTATTTTTTGTTACCAAAATTAATATTTAATTCCATTTTTTTTAAATCGTTTTTGTGAAGCTATTTTTTCAATGAACTGATTATATATAGTATAAGAGTTATTGCCCTTGGTATACCTTGGACGAGAAGAGACGACAAGAGACCTTTAACAGGAACTCATCCTATTGAGTACGTTTTTGTAAAACATTCTCTTGAGTTAACTTACACATATAAAAATTAATATTCTGTTTATATGTAAACATATATTTATTTCAGATTTATTTCATAGGATATCAGTGGACGCAGGCATTGCTGCCTCTGTATCCACATCAATATGATTTGAAATACAATGTGGTCAACATAAACTAAGCCTATACATTAGACGCTGTGTGATTGTACTTCAACTCAAGATCTTTCCAGAATTCGTCCAAGTTTTCCTCAGTGTCAAATACGTGTATAACGTGAATTCGGAATAAAATTCATCAGTTTGATGTGCAAAATAAATGCTAAGTTAGTTTTGAACACAATCAGTATTTTTCAACAGTTTTCAATTACTGTTCGTGTCCAAGCCAAACTTAGCAGTTATGTTAGAGTGAGTGTTGGAACCTATGCTGTTCGTGTTTCTAATGTTTAACAATGTTGTTTTGGAAATAAATATTCAAAGTTTATATTTACTTCACGGATTTATCACATGTGTTAATAGGGTTTCTTTAGGATAGACAAATCTATTCTATCCAAATCAATTTCAATAAAAGCTATGAGTTATATTAGTCATGTTAGTTGTAAGTACTGTAGTTATGTTTCCAGCTGGTCGCCATTGTTTCAGTGTCAGTCGTATATGTAAGGTACAAAGTGTTTAATACACTACAGAATACACGGGTATTAACCGTGAACAAAATGATATAGTGGTATAGGCAGGGGACATTGAAGCTTGAATTCAAACTAATATCTGTGAATAAGAAATTATATAAGAATTCAAATTATTTTGACGATTTGTTCAACTACAATCAAATGTTTGGAAAAAAAACACACCATGCCATAATAAGACAAGAAAGCCAACATACATAGCTTGTTAATTAATATAAATGGGTTAGGGTAAATATATATAAGAAATAACTGAACACAGAACAAATTCATTTTAGACGTTAAACTGCAAAAACACAGGAGTGCATTGTAAAGACAATTAGCTACAGTAAGAACCTGCTGTATAAACATGTAGGCCCCGACTTTTGCTGTTTGATAACAAAGTTATTGAATCAGAATCAGTTGATAAGCAGTTCATGAAAGACAAAGTCAGAATTTGAAATTCAGCACGCGGATTAAATAAATAATAGCTAGACACCATAATGACGATCATATCAATAGACTATGCATTCTTTGTTATTGATATTGAAGATTTGAAAACGGTTTATGTTTAAGACCCATATTTTATAACACTATGAAAGTCGGATGTTAAGCCATATTAAATTAGAAGCACAATTCAACAAGTAGAACTACTCACGACAAATATTAAGAAAGGCTTTACATATTTTGTGAGTCATATACTGTATGTGACAAAGGAAATAAATTCTTTAGAGAATGCGGTATGTTTTGTCAACACTGATGGTGTGTCAGAAGTTCTGTAGATGTGTAAGTGAAATTTGTTGATTTTGTACTGTTTTGTATAAGTATGTATGTTGTGTTTGATCATATGAGTCGTAAGACACAATGCAATACAAAACTTGAGTTGACCAGTACCAAAGAACGTCTTGATATTCCATAATTATCAAGGAACCAGCCCAGGGTATTGCAATAGGCAAGGGTTTGGACTTATATATAAAGGTCTTCATTATACATTGTTTTGTTACTGTCGGGTATTTAGTAATTAAGCTAACAACGCGTGGACTTATATATAAAGGTCTATATTTACATTGTATTGTTACTGTCGGGTATTTAGTAATTAAGCTAACAATGCGTGGACTTATATATAAAGGTCTACAAATACATTGTATTGTTACTGTCGGGTATTTAGTAATTAAGCTAACAATGCGTGGACTTATATATAAAGGTCTACATATATATACATTGTATTGTTACTGTCGGGTATTTAGTAATTATGCTAACAATGCGTGGACTTACATATAAAGGTCTACATATACATTGTATTGTTACTGTGGGGTATTTAGTAATTAAACTAACAATGCGTGGACTTATATAAAGGTCTACATTATACATTGTATTGTTACTGTCGGTTGTCAAGCTGTCATTCCACAGAGCTTTAAATTCTATACAGTGTGTCTAACAGGTAGGTAAGTAGTGTGTGTTTACACGTGTGTATACGCCTCAAAGAGTATTGTAATCAATAAAGACCTGACGGGTCCTCTACCAAAACGCTTTGTGAGTGGTTCCTGACGTACCCGCTCTATAGTTAGGTACACTAGCGCAGTACACATGTGTCGATATAGTCAATACTATTGATTATATTGCACTCGATCTTACTGGTATCGGTAGATGAATACCATATCGAATGTGATCATATTTCATTTGGACGTACCAGAAAACATTAACAACACAGGACAACTGGAAAATACTGTTGTCCGAAAGGTTTAAGCGAATTGTGCTAACAGTCGAAGGTATTGCGTTACATTTTCGTGGAACTCATAGGACTGAAACGTCACCAGTGAATTTGTAGTGTGTTTTAGTAAGATATCTGAAAACAAAGGGGATGCCTGGAAGTGTATGTCAGCTAAAGTAGAGTGGCGTTCCCGGAATAAGCAGAGAAGGAACTATGGCAGAAAACGTGAAGGTGGCAGTCCGAGTGAGGCCATTTATATCCTTTGTGTTAACATCAGTGTATGTCTGTTGATGTGTAATTACTGATTACTTGTGTTTGATAACGTAAACAGCATAAGAACCTCGATCGATGCAGCGTTTCCAAGCACGCGCAATTACTGATCGTTAGACAGGTAAGATTAACACAGGTAAATCTATTTCCGGTCCAGATAATCGATATCAGACATTGTGTAATAGATGTATGAATCAGCATACGTTTAAAAATGGTTTATCGTACCACGGACTTAGATAACATCTAATCAAATTCCGTGATCGTACTGACTCTTAAAATCATGTTGTGTTCAATCATACATTGTCTCAAAAATAGAACAAATGTCTATGTTGTATATTGTTTTTCGAACAGATCACAATCAGTACCCAATATATCGTATAGCGGGATTGAAGACACCCGTTTATGAGACTCTCTGACCCAGACATAGCTATCTATATATAACAAGATAAAACATGTCAAGTATGTACGATGCACCTAACCTTCAGTGTCATGTTAAACACAGCACACACGTAGTCAACACACAGACAGATTGTCATGCAACTACTAATGCCAATACAGATTTACAATGGGATCTATTTCAAACACACATACTTATCAATAGCTGAAAACTTCTTCACTTACTATGGCGTGTTTACAAGCATGTAGTACCCTTGCCAGATATCCCTATTTTGAAAGCTTCTTCAAATCCTAATATGACAATGCAAAGAACAGCTCATCAGATTGGATCTACCGCACTTTTTTTTTTTTTAAATTAGTTGTCATTGTATAATTGTAAGATTTCCTCCCTCTGAAACAATTGAGCGGTCTAGAGCAGGATATTACTTTTAAAGATATGTTTAGGAAGACTTTAGGAGAATGAGTGTTGTTCTCTAAGCTAATCGCTGCCAGCTTGATTTGGATATAAACACACCCAACAGCTGTGATACATCACTCTCCAAAATGTCCTATGTCATCATGTAATCTTACCGGTCCAATTCCACTTAAATATCTAAATATCTGATATCTTTGATCAATATATATTTTTAAATTTAACAAAAGGTCGCTTCCCTAAAACAACAGAAGTATTCGTCACCACATACAACATTAAAAATAAAAACGTTTATGTTATGAGCTGTTGTTGAGGCCATATAACCTGACAGACATCAATTACGACAACATGATCATACGACGATGATATTTAAACTCATTGTGAATTGCTATCCATGAAGGCCCATGTTTGTCCTTGCACGGCTGGCGTAACTACTAACTACAGTCAAATATTGACTCTCTAAGGTAAGCAGGGCGTTACACTGACACAGTACTAGTGTTCAATCGATGTCACCTTTCGTGTCATACGTTACTTTTAAAACGTTCCTACAGATCTAGGCCAGAGTGTTAGATATTACAGTATAGGTAGTATCCTTTGTCTATTTGACGTGTGAAGTAAACTCTCAGTCTGTTTTACATTCTGGTTAACTTTGAAGTTGGTACCCTACGTCACTTTAATGAAATATTTCTAAATTAAAAAGAAATTTTATGGATTACTGTTATTCGAACATTCGACATTCAGATGCTCATATTTAATAAATGTTTTCTCCAAGTTATTTTCCTGTAATGTTTTGCCGATTTTTTTTGAGTGCGGAATTCTTGTAAAATGTATCTGTGGTTATACAGTATCAGGATTTTCTGGCAAAGTTTAAGTAAATAACGAAAATCAAAGCATATTAGTACAAAAACGAAGTGTAACAGTACTGAAAGAAGTATCAAATATACATGGATTTTCACAATAACATATCTCTGCTGGTTTAATTTTCAGATATTTTCAAAGTTATGGATGTAATAAAAGGAACAACTTCATAAAAACCTAGTATCCAATCATTACAAAATAGTTCATTCTTTCATATTTTGATATCACAGATACATTTGTATCTTTGCACGATGGCTGGTGTGCCGGCATGTGATACTTATGATGTGATTGTCGATATTACTCTGTTTAAACTGTAGTTTGATAGTCATATTGTATCAGTCATCTGAAAGCTACAGTGTACTTGTAAGAACGAAGCGAAAATCATCTTCGCCAGCCCCCCGCCCTAATCAAACCCCACCCTGTCAGCCCCACCTATCATCCCCACCCTGCCAGCTCCCCGCCCTAATCCAACCACACCTATCATTCCCACCCTGTCAGCCCCCCTATCAGCCACACCCTGTCAGCCCTACCTTATCAGTCATACCCTCTCAGCCGTATCATATCAGCCCCACCCTGTCAGCTACTCCCTGCACCCTGGTCCTGTGCTAAATTTAGGGTCACAAATGCTTTTTTTCCTGTATATATCAAGCATTCTACATTTTTTCATTGAATAATTCGGAAATAAATTTTAACGCTCCTGAAGAAAAGATTTCTGCGCGTATCAATGCAAAAGAATGTTTGGATTTCTTCTCGTCATATTTCTCGAATTTTCTGTCAAGCGGTTTGAAATAAATTCATGGTTCAAAGTTTTGTTTCAGTAGAGTAAAAATTGACTTCAGAAAAAAAATCACTAAAAAAGGATAGAAATAGAGAGGAAAAGTACGTTCGTGACTTTTAATTAGGCACAGAACTGTATGCTTCATTTGAACGGCGTAAAAGTGTAGCCTAAGGAAGTCATTCATGCAAAACCAAAATCTGATATCATTCTTTGGGCATAAATAAGTACGAAAAGGTTAATTAAACATCTAGTTCTCACTATTGAATCTGACCTGGGTAAACAGCAATATTTCATGCCAATAGATGTACAAAATGCTAGATAAGATAAACGACGGATTGCTGGACCTGTCTTATAGCGTTTGGTCTTTGTAACGTTGCGGACAGGTACAACACTATCAGTGATCATTAACGTTAGACTGTATGGTTGGGTGTGTACGACAGTGATCATTAACGCTAGACTGTATGGTGAGGTGTGTACGACAGTGATCATTAACGTTAGACTGTATTGTTGGGTGTGTACGACAGTGATCATTAACGCTAGACTGTATAGTTGGGTGTGTACGACAGTGATCATTAACGCTAGACTCTATGGATAGGTGTGTACGACAGTGATCATTAACGTAAGACTGTATGGTTGGGTGTGTACGACAGTGATCATTAACGCTAGACTGTATAGTTGGGTGTGTACGACAGTGATCATTAACGTTAGACTCTATTGATAGGTGTGTACGACAGTGATCATTAACGTTATACTGTATGGATAGGTGTGTACGACAGTGATCAATAACGTTATACTGTATGGATAGGTGTGTACGACTGTGATCACTAACGTTAGACTGTATGGTTGGGTGTGTACGACAGTGATAATTAACGTTAGAGTATATTGTTGGGTGTGTACGACTGTGATCATTAACGTTAGACTGGATGGTTGGGTGTGTACGACAGTGATCTTTAACGTTAGACTGTATGGTTGGGTGTGTACGACAGTGATCATTAACGTTAGACTTTATGGATAGGTGTGTACGACAGTGATCATTAATGTTAGAAAGTATTATTTAATACCAATAGATGTACAAAATGCTAGATAAGATAAACGACGGATTGCTGGACCTGTCTTATAGCGTTTGGTCTTTGTAATGTTGCGGACAGGTACAACACTAACAGTGATCATTAACGTTAGACTGTATAGTTGGGTGTATACGACAGTTATCAATAACGTTAGACTGTATGTTTGGTTGTGTACGACAGTGATCATTAACGTAAGACTGTATAGTTGGGTGTGCACGACAGTGATCATTAACGTTATACTGTATGGTTGGGTGTGTACGACAGTGATCATTAACGCTAGACTGTATGGTTGGGTTTGTACGACAGTGCTGGACCTGTCTTATAGCGTTTGGTCTTTGTAATGTTGCGGACAGGTACAACACTAACAGTGATAATTAACGTTAGACTGTATAGTTGGGTGTATACGACAGTGATCATTAACGATAGACTGTATGGTTGGGTGTGTACGACATATGGTTGGTTGTGTACGACAGTGATCATTAACGATAGACTAACGTTAGACTGTATGGTTAGGTGTGTACGAATGTGATCATTAACGTTAGACTGTATGGTTGGGTGTATACGACATTGATGATTAACGTTAGACTGTATGGTTGGGTGTATACGACAGTGATCATTAACGTTAGACTGTATGATTGGGTGTGTACGGTTATACTGTATGGTTGGTTGTGTACGACAGTTATCATTAACGTTAGACTGTATGGATAGATGTGTCCGAAAGTGATCATTAACGTTATACTTTATGGTGAGGGGTGTACGACTGTGATCATTAACGTTAGACTGTATGGATAGATGTGTCCGAAAGTGATCATTAACGTTATACTTTATGGTGAGGGGTGTACGACTGTGATCATTAACGTTAGACTGTATGGTTGGGTGTGTACGTGATCATTAACGTTAGACTGTATTGTTGGTTGTGTACGACAGTGATCATTAACGTAAGACTGTATGGTTGGGTGGGTACGACAGTGATCATTAACGCTAGACTGTATGGTTGGGTTTGTACGACAGTGCTGGACCTGTCTTATAGCGTTTGGTCTTTGTAATGTTGCGGACAGGTACAACACTAACAGTGATAATTAACGTTAGACTGTATAGTTGGGTGTATAGGACAGTGATCATTAACGCTAGACTGTATGGTTGGGGTTGTACGACAGTGGTCATTAACGTTAGACTGTATGGTTGGGTGTATACGACATTGATGATTAACGTTAGACTGTATGGTTGGGTGTATACGACAGTGATCATTAACGTTAGACTGTATGATTGGGTGTGTACGGTTATACTGTATGGTTGGTTGTGTACGACAGTTATCATTAACGTTAGACTGTATGGTTAGGTGTGTCCGACAGTGATCATTAACGTTAGACTGTATGGTTGGGTGTGTACAACAGTGATCATTAACTTTAGACTGTATGGTTAGGTGTGTACGAAAGTGATCATTAACGTTAGACTGTATGGTTGGGTGTGTACAACAGTGATCATTAACTTTAGACTGTATGGTTAGGTGTGTACGAAAGTGATCATTAACGTTAGACTGTATGGTTGGGTGTGTACAACAGTGATCATTAACTTTAGACTGTATGGTTAGGTGTGTACGAAAGTGATCATTAACGTTAGAATGTGTGGTTGGGTGTGTACGACTGTGATCATTAACGTTAGACTGTATGGTTGGGTGTGTACAACAGTGATCATTAACTTTAGACTGTATGGTTGGGTGTGTACGACAGTAATAATTAACGTTAGAGTATATTGTTGGGTGTGTACGACTGTGATCATTAACGTTAGACTGTATGGTTGGATGTGTACGTCAGTGATCATTAACGTTAGACTGTATAGTTGGGTGTATACGACAGTGATCATTAACGCTAGACTGTATGGTTGGGTGTGTACGACAGTGATCATTAACGCTAGACTGTATGGTTGGGTTTGTACGACAGTGGTCATTAACGTTAGACTGTATGGTTGGGTGTATACGACAGTGATCATTAACGTTAGACTGTATGGTTGGGTGTATACGACATTGATGATTAACGTTAGACTGTATGGTTGGGTGTATACGACAGTGATGATTAACGTTAGACTGTATGGTTGGGTGTATACGACAGTGATCATTAACGTTAAACTGTATGGTAAGGTGTGTACGACACTGATCATGAACGTTATACTGTATGGATAGGTGTGTACGACAGTGATCAATAACGTTATACTGTATGGATAGGTGTGTACGACTGTGATCATTAACGTTAGACTGTATGGTTGGGTGTGTACGACAGTGATAATTAACGTTAGAGTATATTGTTGGGTGTGTACGACTGTGATCATTAACGTTAGACTGTATGGGTAGGTGTGTACGACTGTGATAATTAACGTTAGACTGTATGGTAAGGTGTGTACGACAGTGATCATTAACGTTAGACTGTATGGTTGGGTGTGTACGACAGTGATCATTAACGATAGACTGTATGGTTGGGTGTGTACGACAGTGATCATTAACGTTAGACTCTATGGATAGGTGTGTACGACAGTGATCATTAACGTTAAACTGTATGAATAGGTGTGTACGACAGTGATCATTAACGTTAGACTGTATGGTTGGGTGTGTACGACAGTGATCATTAACGTTAAACTGTATGAATAGATGGTTGGTTGTGTACGACAGTGATCATTAACGTTAGACTGTATAGTTGGGTGTGTACGAAAGTGATCATTAACGTTAGAATGTGTGGTTGGGTGTGTACGATAGTGATAATCAACGTTATACTGTATGGTTGGTTGTGTACGACAGTGATCATTAACGTTAGACTGTATGGATAGATGTGTACGAAAGTGATCATTAACGTTATACTTTATGGTGAGGTGTGTACGACTGTGATCATTAACGTTAGACTGTATGGTTGGATGTGTATGACAGTGATCATTAACGTTAGACTGTATGGTTGGGTGTATACGACAGTTATCAATAACGTTAGACTGTATGTTTGGATGTGTACGTGATCATTAACGTTATACCGTATGGTTAGGTGTGTACGACAGTGATCATTCACGTTAGACTGTATGGTTGGGTGTATACGACAGTGATCATTAACGCTAGACTGTATGGTTGGGTGTGTACGACAGTGATCATTAACGTTAGACTGTAGGGATAGGTGTGTACGACAGTAATCATTAACGTTAGACTGTATGGTGAGGCGTGTACGACAGTGACCATTAACGTTATACTGTATGGATAGATGTGTACGAAAGTGCTCATTAACGTAAGACCTTATGGTGAGGTGTGTACGACTGTGATCATTAACGTTAGACTTTATGGTTGGGTGTGTACGACAGTGATAATTAACGTTAGAGTGTATATTTGGGTGTATACGACAGTGATCATTAACGTTAGACTGTATGGGTAGGTGTGTACGACTGTGATCATTAACGTTAGACTGTATGGTTGGGTGTGTACAACAGTGATCATTAACTTTAGACTGTATGGTTGGGTGTGTACGACAGTGATCATTAACGTAAGACTGTATGATTAAGATTGTACGACAGTGATCATTAACGTAAGACTGTGTTATTGGGTGTGTACGACAGTGATCATTAACGTTAGACTGTATGGCTTGGTGTGTACGACAGTGATCATTCACGTAAGACTGTATGGTTAAAATTGTACGACAGTGATCATTAACGTTAGACTGTATGGTTGGGTGTGTACGACAGTTATCACTAACGTTAGACTGTATGGTTGGGTGTTTACGACAGTGATCTTTAACGTTAGACTGTATGGTTGGGTGTGTACGACAGTTATCATTAACGTAGACTGTATGGTAAGTTGTTTACGACAGTGATTATTAACGTTATACTCTATGGTAAGGTGTGTACGACAGTGTTCACGTTCTTAGCTACATTGCTACAATGTACCTATTTCTGTTCTAGCCGTTGTCCAGCCTTACCTTTTGCTCCGATACCTATTGCCCGGGTTGCCGGCATGATACCTAACTCGCATAGTACTATACATGTTAGCTAAACATATCAATTTCAAAAAAACAAAATTTTACTGATTTTGTCCTTGACCCTGGCCCACAATGAGAGAGAGAAGGAGAGAAATGCCACTCTTATCATCAAGATGGTGGGGAACTCTACGGAAATTCGTAATCCCGAAGACATCAACGCTGAGCCGAAGAAGTTCAATTTTGACTTTTCCTATTGGTCTCATGACGAGTACACTGAGCGCCCGGATAAATACATGGAACCTGCGGGATCGAAATATGCTGATCAGGTAAAGTCTAAGTATCTAACTAGGGTACGGCCTGGTACTCGACATCAGGTATAGTCTAAGTATCTAACTAGGGTACGGCTTGGTACTCGACATCAGGTATAGTCTAAGAATCTAACTAGGGTAAGGCCTGGTATTCGACATAAGGTATAGTCTAAGTATCTAACTAGGGTACGGCCTGGGACTCGACATCAGGTATAGTCTAAGTATCTAACTAGAGTACAGCCTGGTACTCGACATCAGGTATAGTCTAAGAATCTAACTAGGGTAAGGCCTGGTATTCGACATAAGGTATAGTCTAAGTATCTAACTAGGGTACGGCTTGGTACTCGACATCAGGTATAGTCTAAGAATCTAACTAGGGTAAGGCCTGGTATTCGACATAAGGTATAGTCTAAGTATCTAACTAGTGTACGGCCTGGTACTCGACATCAGGGATAGTCTAAGTATCTAACTAGGGTACGGCCTGGTTCTCGACATCAGGTATAGTCTAAGTATCTAACTAGGGTAAGGCCTGGTATTCGACATAAGGTATAGTCTAAGTATCTAACTGGGGTACGGCCTGGTTATAGTCCAAGTATCGTATTAGGTTACGGCTTGGTACTCGACAGCAGGTATAGTCTAAGTATATAACTAGGGTACGGCCTGGTTATAGTCTAAGTATCCAACTAGGGTACGGCCTGGTACTCGACATCAGGTTTAGTCTAAGTATCTGACTAGGGTAAGGCCTGGTACTCGACATCAGGTAAAGTCTAAGTATCTAACTAGGGTACGGCCTGGTACTCGACATCAGGTATAGTCTAAGTATCTAACTAGGGTACGGCCTGGTTATAGTCTAAGTATCTAACTAGGGTACGGCCTGGTACTCGACATCAGGTATAGTCTAAGTATCTAACTAGGGTACGGCCTGGTACTCGACATCAGGTATAGTCTAAGTATCTAACTAGGGTACGGCCTGGTACTCGACATCAGGTATAGTCTAAGTATCTAACTAGGGTACGGCCTGGTACTCGACATCAGGTATAGTCTAAGTATCTAACTAGGGTACGGCCTGGTACTCGACATCAGGTATAGTCTAAGTATCTAACTAGGGTACGGCCTGGTACTCGACATCAGGTATAGTCTAAGTATCTAACTAGGGTACGGCCTGGTACTCGACATCAGGTATAGTCTAAGTATCTAACTAGGGTAAGGCCTGGTACTCGACATCAGGTATAGTCTAAGTATCTAACTAGGGTACGGCCTGGTACTCGACATCAGGTATAGTCTAAGTATCTAACTAGGGTACGGCCTGGTTATAGTCTAAGTATCTAACTAGGGTACGGCCTGGTACTCGACATCAGGTATAGTCTAAGTATCTAACTAGGGTACGGCCTGGTACTCGACATCAGGTATAGTCTAAGTATCTAACTAGGGTACGGCCTGGTACTCGACATCAGGTATAGTCTAAGTATCTAACTAGGGTACGGCCTGGTACTCGACATCAGGTATAGTCTAAGTATCTAACTAGGGTACGGCCTGGTACTCGACATCAGGTATAGTCTAAGTATCTAACTAGGGTACGGCCTGGTACTCGACATCAGGTATAGTCTAAGTATCTAACTAGGGTACGGCCTGGTACTCGACATCAGGTATAGTCTAAGTATCTAACTAGGGTACGGCCTGGTACTCGACATCAGGTATAGTCTAAGTATCTAACTAGGGTACGGCCTGGTACTCGACATCAGGTATAGTCTAAGTATCTAACTAGGGTACGGCCTGGTACTCGACATCAGGTATAGTCTAAGTATCTAACTAGGGTACGGCCTGGTACTCGACATCAGGTATAGTCTAAGTATCTAACTAGGGTACGGCCTGGTACTCGACATCAGGTATAGTCTAAGTATCTAACTAGGGTACGGCCTGGTTATAGTCTAAGTATCTAACTAGGGTACGGCCTGGTACTCGACATCAGGTATAGTCTAAGTATCTAACTAGGGTACGGCCTGGTACTCGACATCAGGTATAGTCTAAGTATCTAACTAGGGTACGGCCTGGTACTCGACATCAGGTATAGTCTAAGTATCTAACTAGGGTACGGCCTGGTACTCGACATCAGGTATAGTCTAAGTATCTAACTAGGGTACGGCCTGGTACTCGACATCAGGTATAGTCTAAGTATCTAACTAGGGTACGGCCTGGTACTCGACATCAGGTATAGTCTAAGTATCTAACTAGGGTACGGCCTGGTACTCGACATCAGGTATAGTCTAAGTATCTAACTAGGGTACGGCCTGGTACTCGACATCAGGTATAGTCTAAGTATCTAACTAGGGTACGGCCTGGTACTCGACATCAGGTATAGTCTAAGTATCTAACTAGGGTACGGCCTGGTTATAGTCTAAGTATCTAACTAGGGTACGGCCTGGTACTCGACATCAGTTATAGTCTAAGTATCTAACTAGGGTACGGCCTGGTACTCGACATCAGGTATAGTCTAAGTATCTAACTAGGGTACGGCCTGGTTATAGTCTAAGTATCTAACTAGGGTACGGCCTGGTACTCGACATCAGGTATAGTCTAAGTATCTAACTAGGGTACGGCCTGGTACTCGACATCAGGTATAGTCTAAGTATCTAACTAGGGTACGGCCTGGTACTCGACATCAGGTATAGTCTAAGTATCTAACTAGGGTACGGCCTGGTACTCGACATCAGGTATAGTCTAAGTATCTAACTAGGGTACGGCCTGGTACTCGACATCAGGTATAGTCTAAGTATCTAACTAGGGTACGGCCTGGTACTCGACATCAGGTATAGTCTAAGTATCTAACTAGGGTACGGCCTGGTACTCGACATCAGGTATAGTCTAAGTATCTAACTAGGGTACGGCCTGGTACTCGACATCAGGTATAGTCTAAGTATCTAACTAGGGTACGGCCTGGTACTCGACATCAGGTATAGTCTAAGTATCTAACTAGGGTACGGCCTGGTACTCGACATCAGGTATAGTCTAAGTATCTAACTAGGGTAAGGCCTGGTACTCGACATCAGGTATAGTCTAAGTATATAACTAGGGTACGGCCTGGTTATAGTCTAAGTATCTAACTAGGGTACGGCCTGGTACTCGACATCAGGTATAGTCTAAGTATCTAACTAGGGTAAGGCCTGGTACTCGACATCAGGTATAGTCTAAGTATATAACTAGGGTACGGCCTGGTTATAGTCTAAGTATCTAACTAGGGTACGGCCTGGTACTCGACATCAGGTATAGTCTAAGTATCTAACTAGGGTAAGGCCTGGTACTCGACATCAGGTATAGTCTAAGTATATAACTAGGGTACGGCCTGGTTATAGTCTAAGTATCTAACTAGGGTACGGCCTGGTACCGACATCATGTATAGTCTAAGTATCTATCTAGGGTACGGCCTGGTACTCGACATCAGGTAAAGTCTAAGTATCTAACTAGGGTACGGCCTGGTACTCGACATCAGATATAGTCTAAGTATCTAACTAGGGTAAGGCCTGGTACTCGACATCATGTATAGTCTAAGTATATAACTAGGGTACGGTCTGGTTATAGTCTAAGTATCTAACTTGGGTACGGCCTGGTACCGACATCATGTATAGGCTAAGTATCTATCTAGGGGACGGCCTGGTACTCGACATCAGGTAGAGTCTAAGTATCTAACTAGGGTACGACCTGGTACTCGACATCAGGTATAGTCTAAGGATCTAACTAGGGTAAGGCCTGGTACTCGACATCATGTATAGTCTAAGTATATAACTAGGGCACGGCCTGGTTATAGTCTAAGTATCTATCTAGGGGACGGCCTGGTACTCGACATCAGGTAGAGTCTAAGTATCTAACTAGGGTACGACCTGGTACTCGACATCAGGTATAGTTGAAGTATATAACTAGGGTGCGGCCTGGTTATAGTCTAAGTATCTATCTAGGTTACGGCCTGGTACTCGACATCAGGTAGAGTCTAAGTATCTAACTAGGGTACGACCTGGTACTCGACATCAGGTATAGTTTAAGTATCTAACTAGGGTAAGGCCTGGTACTCGACATCAGGTATAGAATAAGTATCTAACTAGGGTAAGGCCTGGTACTCGACATCAGGTCTACTCTAAGTATATAACTAGGGTACGGCCTGGTTATAGTCTAAGTATCTAACTAGGGTATGGGCTTGTACTCGACCTCAGGTATTCAAATAAGGGAATGTCCAGTTCTCCTTACACGTACATCACTTACTGCCTTTGGATTTCGCTATGTTGGTTTAGTATTATAAGCATATATAATTGATGAAAATGTCTATATTTCAGATTTCAAGACAGTCTGAGAAAAATCTCGTGCATGTTTTCGACAAAACTTGATTATGTGATAAACTTAATCTAACAACGTACATTTGTAAATTGAAACATGTGAATCCTTTCATTATTTTACCTGGAAATTTTGTAGATTACCAGAGGCTCGTTTTATAAATCTCAAATGAAATTAAAAGTCAAATAAGATCCACTATGTCAATTTCAATTAGGATTATTTGTGTAATTCTTATATTGTCACATGTACTAACAGTTTTTTTTTATATCCAATTGAACCTCCGCCGTCCAGCATAATCTTAAAATTACTCGTATGAAAGCGCTCATTTGTTTTAAGAGGATCGATGATAATAGTAATCTGCATTACTCATTCCTGATATTCCGAGTGTGTTTTATTGTAAATAATAACAACATCTTACGGTTGTTGTTAAACCTGTTTTTCCCCCAGAAACGTGTATTTGACAACCTAGGCAGAGGGGTGCTGGACAATGCATGGAAGGGCTACAACTGTTCTCTGTTTGCGTACGGCCAGACCGGAAGTGGGAAGACGTATTCAATGGTCGGGTACCAATCCAACAAAGGGATCGTCCCAATGGTCTGCATAGAACTGTTTAATGGTATCGACAAAAAGCGGAGTGATACTGGTGATGTTAAAGACAAGGGGGTGTATGAGGTAAATAAATTACATCAAATTTCGAAACACTTGTGCCTAAAAAAAACCGCAAAGTACACTGAAGACTTATGTATTTTGTGGAACACAGCCAGACTCAACCTATTGCTTCAAGGAAACACGACAAAATTGAGGTGTGTAAGCCACAATGCTGTACGTTGATTGCAAGAAAAAGATACAATTGTTAACATGTATAGTTATACCTAATATATTCAACATGAACTTTGCATTTGTGTTTTTCAATATCGGTCATTATCTGTAACAAAACAAATATTTTTTACAAAACATACATCTTTTTCCCGGATCGTGTTATTGGTAAGGAGTGTCGTATCCTATTTTGACTTTGTGTGTTGATGATGTGGTATTTTATTTTGTAATTGTTTTCAAACGGCGGTATATGCTATTTAGCCTTTGTTTCTGAACGGTGTGATGTGTTACAGTGTTTTATATCCTTGTTTGTAAACGACGGGGTATGCTGTTTTGTCTTTGTAAATGACGTAGTATGTTGTTTTGTCTTTGTAAATGACGTAGTATGTTGTTTTGTCTTTGTTTGTTAACGACGGAGTATGTTGTTTTGTCTTTGTTCGTAAACGACGGAGTATGTTGTTTTGTCTTTGTTTGTAAACGACGTAGTATGTTGTATTGTCGTTGTGTGTTAAAGACGGAGTATGTTGTATTGCCTTTGTTTGTAAACGACGTAGTATGTTGTTTTGTCTTTGTAAATGACGTAGTCTGTTGTATTGTCGTTGTTTGTAAACGACGGAGTATGTTGTTTTGCCTTGGTTTGTAATCAGTGAAATGTGTCACTGCAATTGAGTAATATTTATTGATGATTTAACATGATTTGTTGACGTTTCAGGTGATGATTAGTATGTTAGAAATATACAACGAACAAGTTCGAGATTTACTGAACTCTAAATCTAACAAGAACAAGGGAAGCATGAAAATCAAGAGTGACCCGAAGAGAGGCTTCTATGGTAATATACACAACATTATTGACAATGGTACATGTATGTAAAGTCAAGTGGTAACATGATGAGACCCGTACAGTTAATCGTATATGCAATATTACGCATCAGACATGGGTTATGTGTTATGTGTTATTGCCCAATATCAGGTAATACATGATGATTTTCATAATGCGCTATAAGAATATTATGTGATATGAATATATGTTTTATCATTTGATGCAGCAAAATTACTCTTGATATATATCTATATCACTTCATCAGCATGTCAGGTAGAGAAACGTATTTGAAATTATAAATGTAACACATGGTGACAGTTACATTATTGTTGGCAATTGAACGACAATTTTNGGGGGGGATGGTCTTTTCAATTTGTTACAGAATTTTGTTTGTTTGTTTATAGTTGAGGCGCTTACGACATCACTGGTGAACAGTTATCCCGAGATTGAAAACAAAATCAATGAAGGCACAAAAAACAGAACAGTAGCGTCGACAAATATGAATGCAACGAGTAGGTCAGTGCAATATTTGTTACTAATGTCAGTCATGTAAAATCACGTCTAGCTGACATCGATTCATGTCGAACTGTAGTTACGAAAAATAATCAGAATGTTACCACTTCAATCACTTTTGTTTTTCTGTAGAGCGTCGGTTAGGGTTGAGCTAATCTTAATCACAGGAAATCTCATACGTGAGTATATATGTGTTTAAATATAAGGCAAATTTCCTACTTATCATATAACTATATATATTAGTTATGATTTGATATTCCGCTTAAATATAAGCATTACTATAGCTTGTTTTCATTTATGGTATAAATTTGTGAGTATAGCCTCACCAGAAAAGACATGTATACAAAACGTGGTTGAAGATTTTGTTCACGTTCCTTTAAAGCAGACTGGTATTCTTTCATTGTATGTACGGAATTCCAAATGTCCAGATATTGATACTGTTCTTTTAACGTTTTATTAAAATGTCCTGTGTTACAGCCGCGCTCACACCATTGTGGCCGTCCACTTCAAACAGGTGACTAAAGACGGTAAAGGCCAGAGTATGACCAAGACGTCGGTCATCAACCTTGTCGATCTAGCCGGCAGGTGAGGACGCAATCTAGGCGATGATTGCATTGTTAAGTAATACAATTAACATGTATTTATATTCACGTACTCATAATTTGCGCATCGACAACAATTATCATGCTACACGCAAATCATGATTTAGTGCTACATAGTCTGCGATTGTCATGATAGGTTATTAAGCAAGCATACTAAAAGCGCTTAGACAAATAGTTTACGGCATATCAAATGTACATAAAGAATTATATATGTGTGTGCATTGTATGCTTTCATGTCATAAAAACACAATTCACAATTTTCAAAACATTTTTTTTTTGTAATACATAATACAGATAAACTATTATTCGGTGTTTAAACAAGTTTATTCCGCTGTTAATCTTAGAGGTGCTTATCCGTTTGTGAAACAAAATGTTCAGAATTTGTTAGAGATTACTAATACGATGCATAATTCCATTCAATCAGCGAGAGGGTGGCGAGCACTGGAGCACAGGGGGACAGGCTGAAGGAAGGAAGCAGTATCAATCAGTCGCTAAGCTCACTCGGAAATGTCATCAATGCTCTTGCTAAAGCAAAACCTTTCAGTAAGTTGGCATCTGACCTGTATTTATATACAAACAAAACAGTAAAACTATAATGCTATACAACCGAAAAAAATAAGCAGATTCGGATTTGTACATATAATTGTCATATATGTCAAGATGATCTCGATTATTATACGTCATGCATCAAACATGACTACATGTGTATTCATGTATTAATTTCTATGGTCTTTTGACGAGGTAATCGCTCTACTTTCAGTTCCATACAGAGACTCTGCCCTGACAATGTTGTTAAAGAACGCTCTTGGTGGCAACAGTAAGACAGTTATGGTAAGCTCGATAATACTTAGTCATTTTATTATGCATACAGCCCCCCCCCCCCCCCCCCCCCAAAAAAAAACACAACCCACACGAATGTATTACCTAACACGAAATACCGTAATGAAATCAGAAATGCAAAGGGCATCCTGCAAACTACATAATTACGGTTTCCAAAATAAGCTTGTACAGACGTTGTCCCTCTATACATGCATTTCATCGAGAGGATATAGACATGCATATGGATATTGGTTTTCATTGATATATTTCCGTACTTTCCCCATAAATGTGTTGTGTTGAAATGTACAAGTTTTCATTTCTATTGGCAATTAGTTATATTTATGTTGTATATTTCTGTTAGATAAGGTAAATCAATTTCTTATAATAAATTAAGCGACTGTCATCATTTACAAAATAAGGTATGTTTGTACTGATACGCTAGTATGCTTATTGAAACTCTAATGCGTCTGATTTGTTATGAGGTTGACAGGTTGCAGAATCATTTACTCATTACATCAAACACCGTTATCCTCTTCTTTTAACTAGATTGCTGCACTAAGTCCCGCAGATATCAACTACAAAGAAACGCTATCCACTCTCAGATTTGGTAAGACAATTTTATAATTGTTTTTGACGATATTTGTACAATAATATGCTCGATACTACATTATAAGATCTTGACCTGGACAAGTGATTCCCCAAAAAATGATATTTACATCGTATGTGCAAAAATGTTGGTTATTATGTTAAGTCGACCTCTAAAGTGATATCGACAGGATTCAATAAATACGTCCATGGTGAACTATATAATTTGTAATTTGAAATATTGAGATAAACAATTGCAGTTAGAGTAGTTTGAACAATAAAATATAATTTCTGATTTTTATTGACTGAAGTTGTTAATTTTATTTGCAAAAAAACAACACTTTTTAAGAACTAAAGAATTAATTCTAGAATTTTACACTATCGTGCCTTCTTGAATAAACGAACCGGGTCCTGGAATAGATACAAAAATATTTCTTTACCTATCCTTATATGTTTAAGAGAAATATCTGCAGGCTATAAAATGAAAATTTAATACCCTCAAATGTACACGTCGTTACATGCAGAAAAACCAAACCATTTGTCTGACCAGTGGTTTTGCTAAAATTCACCCTGCCATTTTTTATATAAGGTATTTGTAATGGCCGTATTTTAACATTATATAAACTGTAATATAGTTACAATAATAGTTTCTTTAAACGTACGATAATATAATTTGAGAGCAACCTTTTCATTGTAATTGAGTTTCATCAACATGAGTAGATTATTAGCCTTCCGGAGTTATTCCCCTTTGATATGTTGTGCATATGTATTGTGACAATTCCAATTTCGAGCATGTTTCACGACCTGATATGGCATAATATTTTGGTATTCTCTCCAGCACGATTGCCATTGAATATTATTTTTTTTTATCGATGTCTTGCATGCAATCCATAATGCGTTTAAATACATATTACTTAAAGCATAATACTTTCGAACATACCCAGTCTTTATCTATTTGAAATGGTTTTGTATTTGCAAAGCTGATCGAGCAAAAGCGATCAAGACCACAGCGACTGTCAATGAGAATCCCACAGATAAACTCATCCGAGAACTCCGAGAGGAAAACGCGCGGCTACTGAAGCTTTTGAAAGTGGGAGGAATAAACGCTTTACAAGGAGAAGGCACAGAAGGTAATCGCCGTCTGGACAAAATGTCTGTTTGGACGTCTAGCTCATTGTTTGCGATACTATTTTGTCATTTTATTGATATGATATCTTTAGTAAGCTCCATGTTGACAGGGAAATGTTGGGGGGCTTCCCTTCAACTTGTGATAAAGAAACAGTTGTATGCACAAAAAATATTTAATTGTGGCCAACCTTCAATGTATGATAAACACATCTTTGGTAGATATAGTTATAATAGACGAAGAGTATTTTATTGTTATCAAAATATTAAACGCTAGCTTGATGAGATTGTTCACTACGACAAACGTTGATGTTGCTCTGTGTTATATCCAGTAACCCATCAGTCGGAAGGAAGTCCAGCGTCCACAGTTGTTGCTGTAAATATATTCATAAAGTAAACATTGACTGCCATTTCTACAAAATCCATACCATTTGGAGCACCATGACAACGTACGGTGCAACATGAAGTGTTACCGGATTTTTTCGGGGGTTAAAGTTTGCTTGGTACAACCATTTCCTAAAGACTAGAACGTTGCAAAAGAATACATCTATCATTTAAATAAAACTTATCTGTTTAAGGTTATAACAGGTTTTAGCACTCACGTTTAACGTAATATTTCCTGTATGTGATATTATTGTCTTTTAATATCGATATCTTCATGTCTTATATACGTATGTAATGCATGCTAATTTACTTTTCTAACTTTTGCTCATCATTCATTGTTTTAGGTATGTATTTGAGCATTGTAACATATAGCTGTTCTGTGAACATAACACGGTACATAATGTATTGAACAGGTAAAGCGGAAACTATCAATTTGATAAAATTAAAAAAAGTCAACATTCATATTTGTAGCCACAAGTGAGGAAAAACGGTTGCTTGAGGAACAGTTACAACAGAACCAAAAGGAAATGGAGGAAATGAAGCAATCCTGGGAACAACGACTTGAGAAAGCACAGAAAGAAAACCAGGTATGTCAAAAGCCCTCAGATTGAGTGTGATTGGCCTGAAAAGTCAAATGGCTATAAAAGATGTATCAATATTTTGGACAGTGTTCTTTAATACTCGTACAGCGCTGTTAATAACATGTAATAATCATTAACACAATTTTAAAATAGTCTTCTTTCATTGAGACCAATTAAAAGGAATATGTTGTTTCGAATTAAAATAAGAATGATTAATAAATAAAATTGCAATAATGGAAATCCGTTTTGTTAGATAAAAAGAAAATCATCTAATCTTAGTCCTGATAGTATAACGGCTTAACCATATATTTGTTGTTATGTCGTATGTATATCACTAAACAGGTCATCAAAGGTATCGATTTGTTAACTTTGTCCTTACCAATTCGCTGCCGCTCATTTGATTTATAATTCAAACAATTTCACATAATAACTCGTTAGGATTCTAAATTAACATGTAACCCTGCTTTGGTCGTAAGTAGTAAAAAATATCTTACTTGCGAAGATTAGTTCAACTTAACAAGGATCAGATTTCCTCTATAAGGTCGAAAAATAACTTGAATATCAAGAGCATACGTTACCATATCCTTAAGAAAAAAGCATGTCAGTTTTATTTGCCAAACTAAATTTCCGATTTTTGTATGAGATGGAATCAGATTGTTACAAACATTTCAATATGGCATCTCTTAATCTATTTAGGCAAAGATTGAAGATGAAAAGAGGATAGAGGAACACAAGAAAGTTACGCCACACTTTTGGAACCTAAATGAGGATCCGGCACTTAATGGCATGGTGGTCCACTTCTGCGATAAAGGTGATAATCTTTGTCTGTTTTCCAATCATTTAATACTAAAGCGATAATAGTTTAATGTCTTGTAAGGGGATCACACATAATTGTACATATACATACATTGTGTAACACTGTTCGTTCAGAAACTGTATCTTAGCGATATGGGTAAATGATTGTTTAAATGATTCAAATGGTCATGCCGCACGAGGTAGCTGTCATATATACAGTCAGTCATGAAGTAAGAGCACCAATGAGGTCACAGCAGTGGTTACCTTACGAAGGCGTTTTTTTTTCATAAGTGTACTGTACAATGAAATCACTACTATTGGGAACCGTAATTAAAGGTAGTTGCATGAGCAGGCTTGAATGTTTTTTTTAGTTTCAGTATATATACATGTATATATAAATAAAACAAAACACGAAGACTTCGTCCCGTATCACATGTATGAAATAGCGATAAAATATTTATCGCTACATGTATATTTATATGTAATATATTGCCTTTAACTTTATATCTTTTGTTTAATGTATATATATAACATATTGCCTTTTTTCTGTAGCAAATTTTATTATATATGTAAAAGATGGCCTTTTTCTCTGAGGCTATGATTAAAATATATATGTAACATATTGCCTTTTTCTTTAAAAGCAATTTCTATTATATATATGAAAAATACTGCCTTTTTCTTTAAAAGCAATTTCCATTATATATATATAAAATACTGCCTTTTTCTCTGACGCTATGGTTCGTGTATATATGTAGAAAATTGTCCTGTTTTCCATAGCTATATTCGTGTTCCCTCTTCATGACGTCAAAGATAAACTCAAATCACTTGAACAGCCTAAAGATGGACGAAAGTACTAACGAGATTAGGCTTCAGTGTTTTCTTGTATTTATATTTCTACAGACACATAAACGTTTAACATTTTTACCGCTTTTTAACTATAAACATATTAAATAGATTGCCCTTTTCTCGGAACCAACAGGAAAAGTTTTAATAGGGAGCAAGACAGCAGAATCAGATGCAGACATACCACTTTCAGGTCTTGGGTGAGTACATGGCAACATCTAAGAAGCCTATATTGTCTAATAGACAGGTACCTGTTGAATAACTAAATGTAGTATGTAATCCTAGTCACTATTAAGTATTTACAGTTATATAAAAAACATACTTATGGCAGTACGCTTTGAGGATTGGTGTTCCTTATTGCCTGTTGTGTAATTTCTCTTCACATTACATCTCCAGCTTACACACAGGCATACACACATGGGGAGATATTAGCCAGGTGGCATAAGACTAGTAGTTAGCGCCTGATAAGGCAGCTCATGCGAAACTCTCAGAATTGTATTGATTAATGTATATTCTAATTGTATTAATTGTATATCTGTGTACTATAAAGCGTTTTAGAGTGGCTTATGTTAGCTAGATGGGGCGCTATATCAAATGCTTTATTTATATATATTCGTATTGTTTAATGTGAGGAAATTAATATAAAAGTCATACTACAAGGAGAAGACTGCAAACGGCTTGATATGTTACCTCATCCTTTTGTTGCAACACGTCCTGCATTTCAGCAATGTTCTATGTAATATTGAATGTTTATATGCTGTGTTAACAATGAACCAATTGAAGATGATACGAGGGTGATATCTAATTATTTCGTCGTTGCTCTGTCATACTCATGACACCTGTTTCACCTATCAACGCCATTACACATGCATGTACCCAAGGTGTTTATCTCAGCATCCCGCAAAAAGGACAACACGAGTAGCTCCCTCAACCTTGTCTGTCTTCTTAATTTTATTTACCATTCATAAGTCTTGTTTGTACTAACATCAGCATCCAACCCAACCATGCAGAGATTATTAACAAAGATGGATCAGTGCTTATACAACCGGTTGATACCGCCAAAGTGACCGTCAACGGTCAGAAAATATTAGCCGAGACCAGATTACATCATCATGACAGGTCAGTTGGAACATACATAAAACTCAGACTAAGCCTTATAATGGTTTAATTTACCTGCATCATTTTTTAATTAAGTGTTGTCTTTTCAACGTATGTGAACATGATAGGTAGTTTTCTTTTCTAAGATAGAATTATAACGGAATATCATTTCAGACAGAGACTTTGTATAAATGTTAACGTGTGACAGAGTTGTGTGAAATTGATAAACCATGAATTAGTGCCAAATTCCATGCAAAACAAATGAACAAAAAGCAATGAATTGTAGGAAACAAACCGACAGTATGGGTGGATCTAAGTGACTGGTCACACACAGGGAAATCGTTGTTATTAGACAATGCCGATTAGAGAAGTGTGAGAATAACTTGAATACAAATTACGAATATCGTATAATTCTCGCATTACATGTAACTTATATAATGATTTCGATTTCCAGGGTACTGTTCGGAGCGAACGTCCTTTACATTTTCCATCACCCTGTAGAGGCCACAAAACAATCTGAAAGTGGAAATAAAGTACATATCCCAACCTTTGATGAGGCACAACAGGAGCTAGCTATGATGTCTGGTCTTGTTTCAAAAGACGGCACGTCGAAAGGTATATGTTTAACAAATTCTGTTCTGATAAATAAGACCCGTCAATGGTAACCAGAACTCATTTTATTTCGTAAATGTAACATTTGAATAAAAATCACCCATTTACAGGCATTTCTAGTACGATATGGCTACATTTTTATACAGACAATTATCGTATTGAGTCGTTAAAGCTTATTGATAATTACTTTTAAATCATTCAAATAAAATGTATTTAGCAATGATGACACAGGTTTTCCGCTTTGAACTAGCATATGCATTGCTATATGTCCCTCGACATATGATTCGGAACATTTAAATAATTGACTCTTGGTGTCATTGATGTTTTTTTTTGATAAACGAAATGACAATGTGTTACGGTAAAGTGAGTTTGCTTTGCTTAGTTTTTTGCACCTACAAACAATATTTTCAAATGAATGCTTACTTTCTTTGTACTTGTAGTTATTGCATTATGCATTTGTTCCTCATTGAATGACTGTTCCTTTTTGCATTCCAGAGGACCTGATATTACAGGAGGAAGTCACACAGGTACTGCGGATCATGAATGAAGCCAACGCTATGTCTGAGGAAATGGATAAGAAAGTGAAGTTTGAAGTCGCTTTACTAGCTCCAGCGTTCCGCAGTCTCCACAGAGGACCTACTGAGGTATAGATCGCAAATATTTATAAACAAGTGTAAACATAAAGAAACATTATTAAGATATTTTTATTCAAAAGTTCAAAACACATTCTAGGAAAATGAGAAACAATGAACTATATATCTTCCTGATAGTAGCATATATTCGAACAAAAGCGTTAGTCGATTTCTGGCCTTTCGATTGTTCATATTCATTCTAATTGATTTACATAAGGAATACTCTGTTGTGTACCGTTAGAATGATAGAATTTGTTCATAAACGTAGCTATCAGGAAAAAGAATGCAACTTGTTTGGGTTTTTTTTGGAAAATAATCGGATGTAATATTATCTTAATTTAATTTCTTTCAATCTTATATTTTAATAACAAAACTTTTTTTTCAACTAGCGTTGGTTACTCTGTATGCATCGGATTAATACAGAGTTACAACACTTTGTCTTTTTGCTACTATATAATAGTTCATAATTCCGTGTTTGTCGATAAACACCTTATTTACCGTGAATCTGTCTGCAGTAAGACCTCGTTAGACTTCCACATTGTATCCAGTAAATTGTCGGCGTTGTTTACTAGTGTTGTTATATAAAGATCATGAGTATGAATGGATTTATCGAAAAATGGAATAGAACAAAAATGGTTGATAAAAATGTATTGACCAGCTTCAGAAAATTCATAAAATAAACTATCAAATGTTGCTTTGTCTGTCAACTTAAAAAACGTGTAGAGGCAACACGTCTTAAACGAAAATGGTATGGGATAGTGAATAGTATGGACTTAGTTTTTAGGCCTTAATTGAGTAAGCGATAACGAATAATTATATATTTTTTAATATTTTAAATTGTTATTTACCAAGAGTATTAAATCGCTCAATTGTTTGTCAATTATTTTATTTTCAGGCGGTTTTAACTGAAGTAAGAATGATTAAGCAAATGTATTCTCACCTTTTCAAGCATCCTTGTTCCCTAAGCCAATACAAACTGGCTTGTGGCAATAATTCCAGCTGAATTCACGCCCAAATCTTATGATAGCACGTTTGGAATTCCATTAACACTATTTTTCTGTTTCAAATTATCCGTTTCAGATTTACTATTCCACCCAGCTATCGTTGTCTATAATAAAGTCTATGACTGTTAACGTTTTAGATAGCCCGTCACAACGTATTTAACAAGTGATGTCACGTTGCATTTTGACCTCAAGAAAAAGACAACATGAAATATGTCATGTATCAATCAGGCACATATCTACCCAGTAACTTCTCGTTTCTGTGACGACACAATTTAGTATTTAATGAGTAAAACACATAGATCACAATTCAATCGATCACTTTTATCTCTGTAGTCAGGAAGATTAACTTACAACGAACAAATAAGGTATCGACAAAAATAAACATCATTAAATACATGTTAGTAGATGCAATGCATATTTGGTTAATACGATACGTGGTATTCTGCGTACACAAACCCGAAATTATGGTTTGAGTGTTGTCCTGATCAGGTGTATCATAATAACATAATGCACGGATAATTCAAGGTACGGATGAAGGTGAAGGACCTTACTACTGGTAATCACTGGATGTGGACCAAAGATAAGGCCATACACCGCAATGCCCTCATGCAGCAGCAGTACCAGGACTTTATCTCCAAGGACGAGAACTGGCGTGTTTCGAAGGTGATCATATTTGGCTAGATTTTAATCATACTTAGAGTACCGTTATTCTTCTAAGTCTACACTTTAACAATGTTGTCAATTAGGAATTATACATGAATATCAGCGTCCGGGTCTTGTTTTAGGCATAGTGTCTATTAATGCATACCCTGACAGTAGAAGATACTCTGAGCTGGATATAAGGGAGATCATTGCAGGTAGCTTCGCAATTAAATCTGACATACCTTAATATTTACATTCTGTGTTACATTTGCCTATATGTCGTTAGTAAACCAAATTCCAGTATTAGAGACTGTATACTGCAATTTACAGTGATTCGGTCAGTGTAGGAACATAGTATATACATGGCCACCAGATACTTTCGGTATCAATAGGATACTCAGATAACTTGCTGGGTTCGTTAGCATTAAGCAATGTAGGTCATCGTAAAAAATTAAGCGACTTGACAAATTATGACAATATAAGATGTGTAGGTACCACACAATTATTGTAAACGCCATTCTAGATACGAAATTACCGTCATCACACAAGTGCTCGGTTTCGAGATTTTGAGTTATGCATAACATCAGTGAATAACCAAAACACTAAAACTTATTTATAAAACCTTGTAAAAGTCGAGGGTATCGACAAGGTTTTAGAATGTGTATCTTCAGTGATGTCATCCATTAGGCCTACTCAAAATCTCGAAACCGAGCCCTTATGAAAATCGTCGTCTGCTAGCGATGCTAATCTGACCTATTAGACATGGAATCTGTTTCATGGAGTCCATTCAGCGCCGCATCACTTCCAAAATCATGTAATCTATTAATGCGCGAAAAACAGCTTTAATTTTAAACAGGCAGAAGTTATGCAATTATTACAAAAATTCAACCTAAACACACTCATATGAAATAAATAATAAAATTAAGTTTGTGTTCAAACCATTTTATGTGCGTGTGGTTTTCAATGACACGAGAGACTATATTTTTTCTTCTGGAAAATTCGGCTGTTCTGGAATTTGAACTTACTGACGTCACTGATATGATAAGGGGGAAATTCAAACGTATTTTTGCTTCAGTTACTATACAAAATAAATGATATACATGTTAATATAAGCAATGAACTGTTACCAATCTATTTATCTGTCACCCAAATTGCATTCAAATCGAATGTATACTGCATCTGGTAACAGTTCAATGCTTAACTAACTACATTTTAACTTTCTACAGCAAACAAAAACATCTCGTAAGCGTTTTGTTAGGAGACTTCCAGTACAGGTTAAAATGATTCACAGCACTATAGCTTCCTGGAATCTACAAATTTATAAAAACTTCAAAAGAAAAATCAATTATCCGGTCAGAAAATGTTTACGAGCAATAACAAACAGTTGTTGATGCTTACCTTGGATCAACGTGATCAAACATTGTTTTATCTAAAAGACAATTGTTTGATTAACTAACGGACTTATTTTTATTTAACTATGTCTACATTATCGTAGAGAATAAAACGGTAATCGTTAATGTACGTCAGGAAGACGATCCCTTTTGGGAGCCTGCTGATACAGAAGTAATGGTTGGTGTAGCACATTTCAGCCTGCTGTCCTTGGCTTATAAATGTAGTATAGAGGAGAACGCCGACATTCATGACCACAAGACGCAGATCAAAGGTAGGTACTATGTCAAACATACCTGTCATAAATCAAAGGTATATGTATGTTAAAACCACCTCAAATCAACTATATATGACAATTAAAAGTTATCCTAGATAAACGACTAATGATCAAAATTATTCAAAATCTAAGGTACATAATGGATCAAAGTTAAACCATTCTCAATAAAGCATTTTCTCGACCCCATTGACAAGAAACGGAACTGCGTTACATTATGACAATCTGATAAACGACTTTAACAATGTATTCGGTGCTATTTTTCTTAGGACATTTACAGTTGGAGGTGATTCCATGTGATAACAACAAGCAGCCGCTCGGTGACATTGCTCTTCTCGAGGATACGGCGGACTTGGTACATTTTCAATTAAATTTCAGTTTATTGGTACAATTAAAACAACACAAATCATTTTCGATTTACAAATGGTATTTGATGTAACAAAGAGCCCATAATTTACCGTATATGGCACATTGACGATTCTTTTCAGATTATAGCTATATGGTAGCGGTATATGTAAGATGGTACATTGGCTTTTCGAGCGCCATAACAACCTCTTATAAAATATCAAGGATGTCTTCTTTCTTGTACTTAACATATTTTACACATAATAAACTTGGAATTGAGTCATGTGTGTTAATTACATGGTCACGTGATAATTAACATGTGTATGCTTCCGTACTGTTTAACATTATTCCAAAGAGGAGGTTGATGGTACTCTGCTACGTTATACAGTATTACACACTTATTTATTTTATACCTATCGTGACCTTGTAAGATTTTTACAAAGATAAGGTCCGATCAATAAAATCAAAATCAAGTATGCGGTATTATTATGTGCATTTTTTTATACGACATTACTTTCTGTTTCAGGTTGGCAAAGATTTGACATTCTTGTTGAAAGTGAACGGGGCTCGGGGATTACCTACAAATATCAAACAGGTAAACCTGAACCCAGACGACAACTGATAAATAGGTTATAACATCCCATTTAATGACAGTTCATACATCATTTCAGTTTTTGTCTGTTGCTAGGTATCTACTTGTTACCATATATAGCATCTATAATACTGTCGCCTACAGCAGATTGTATTCATTCTCACGCAGCACATACTTGTTATCATTAGTTTGTTACAACTCCTTTGCCAGTCATAGTTTCACCTATCTTGATAAGCGTGCTAAGATCAATTCCATTTTAGAAGATGAATGAAGTTGTTGCGTAATTGTATAGACATAGACAACTCTTGCATAACATTTTTTTTTCTTTTTTTTTCTTTCAGTCATTTTGCAAATTCAAGTTTTACCTTGATAATGACTACACACAAACGAAGGAATCAGTAGGGACAACTCCTGATTTTGACTTTGAAAAACTTTATGTACAGAATCCTGTCACACAACAGGTAAGGTGACTCCTATCTAACTAGATTGTCGTAGTGTTGTGCAATATTGCTGTCTATTTGATTATGAACTACTGTTCAGAAATGGTCAAAGCAGATTCGGGTACAAGTTTTGCGGAAAGGATTTTTTTTTCATAAAACACAAACAACATATATTAGATAAGGGGTCGAATGCATCGACGTTGTCTTTATCAAATTTTGTTCATATTTTCGACTTTACGTAGGTTGTCGTTGTAATACAATTACTACATAACGATTAGAATATAGTCGTGGTATTCAATACTTGAAAAAAGATTCCCATTTCGGTCATTCCAGGGGTTACGCTCACTTCCGCTGTCTATGTCACTGGGATATTTCATAGCGAAATTGAAAGCACTTGGTTGGCTATTTGATTGGTCTCGGGTAAAACATGACCAATATCTATGCTGATACATGTCATAAAGATAACAGATATACCCAACTTCAAAGACAGTCAGTCAAAAAAATTCTGCTGCGCCCATTGCGATATTTGGAATCTTTATCTTTCTTTCTTCATCTAATTTTCCTTTTATTTCCTATTTCCCAGGTAAGGAAGGCAATGGGTTCTGTCCTCAGGCTGGGACATACAAAAGTCCTTAAACATGGTAGTTGTTATTCCCTGCTTAACGTTCAGCATTAAGGGAAATGGCAATAACTGGTTCACCCGTTGTCAGTATAATGTGACCTGGCGGAATGCTTTGCTTGGTGCCTTCAGCATGGCATTTCAGTAAGATAGCACTATCAAATCGTCATAAGATCCGCGCTATCACACAGAGGAAATCACGCCAATATTTCATGTCTCCTGCATACACTCACGCAATCACGTCTTTAAATGATCTAAGCAGTTAATAGGACGTAATTAAACCAAACCAAACCAAATCTTTTGATGTACATCAAAGGATCAAACCAGTTGTGTTGTCTAATTTACAACGTGGCGCACAATGAGCATTCGATTTAGTCATGACATATCCCTGGGGTGCAAAGAGTGAAAGTGAGCGTAAACCCTGGAGTATCAATGATGTACTTTGGTATTCTTTAGTTATTTTTTTGCATACATTAACCTGATGGTCACGTGTTGTGACGCGTTCCACATTTAGGTCATCACAACCTCTCACTTCGACATTAATATTGTTTCAATCATGTGGAGTGCAGGGGTATTGAGTTTTTGAATTTAGTTTTTGATAATTTTTCGTTTGAAATCACATCGTTATTAGTAAGTATCAATGGTTGATCCATTATATTTGCAAACGTGTCATATCCTCCCTTCTCTTACTTTGCAGTTCTTGAATTATTTGAGAGATCGTCATCTGGTTATCGAGGTTTGGGGACGGCAGAAGGACGACCAGTTGGTGTCGTCGAAAGGAGACACGGGTCTGCTTCCAACAAAGGATCTGATGATTCGAGAAAAGACTTTCATAGGAGTAAGTTGAAACACCTTATATCTCTCTTTCAAATCATTCGGTAATTTATATTTTCCAAAGATATCAGTTAAATAGCAGCAGCTCAATCGCAACTTCAGAAACAAATGTAGTACACTGTATCATATCAATGTCGAAATAGAAAAAAATAAACAAAAGTCTTAATTTTAAATGAGTTGTCACAAGTAAACGTGTAAGTATGACATACTTCTCCGTGTATATTCATTCTACATTACATATTTCTAACACACATATAACAAAATATTCAGTCGGGGTATTTCGATATCTTAAAGTTAATCTAATCTGAACGTAAAATGAACAACATATTATGCTATTACAGAAATCCGCATTGGAAGATGGAGACACGGGAGAAAAGAAGAAGAAGAAAAAGAAAAAAAGGAAAAAGGAACATGATGATGAATCAGACATGGCGAATAGTATAGTTATTCCGGTACCGATACCTGCTGGGCGGGACAGTGGCAGAGATAATATGTCTACTATGACACGGGAAGAAGAAAAGAAGTTGAAAGATGAACTAGCTCAACATGTGGCAAATGAGCAAAAGCAATTAGAAAAAGCAAAACAGCAATCTGAAACAAAACTGAAGGAGACAATTGATGCTCACAAAGCGGAAATGTCTCAGAAGCTTCAGGAGATAGAAAGCTATAAAGGTAGAGGGAGACAACTACACCAGGAAAACATGGAGAACAAGAAGACACTGGTACGTATTGAAATGCTACCATTTACTATAATTATCTTATTATGGTATGTACACCATTACGAATATGTAATATATTTAAAGTCGTGTTTTTGTGTTTGATCAACAAGCTATGGTATAATATTTTAAGTGAAAGGCAAATCCTGAATTTTAGTTGACATGTCGTTATTTATAAAACGCTTGATGAAAACATATTTTTCCTTCAATAGGAGGCTGTTAAGGAGCTGTTGAATAGGACACGGGAAAAAGGCAAATCGAGTATAAATGTATGTACATTATGAAACTTATTTACCTTAACACTCCGATATATATTACATCAAAAATAGATATATATTTATCGTTTATATGATGCAACTTTTGTCGTTTTCCTTTAAATATAAGGACTTCTTCTGAAATATATGTTTTTGCAATTCAGGTGTAGAAAATGTGTTAAAATAATATAAAGTTATTACAGGGGCCATTCAATAAAGTCTGTCACTAGTGTCAGGAATCACATGCATGATGCACATATAATCTGACCTTAATTATTATTAATAGAAACGCACATAATAAATCGCGCTATTCATGGCGTAAACGCTACGTGGTAGTCTCCCCTAGGTGTACTGGCAAAACACTGGAAGATCGCACTACTAAGAGCACTTCTACTGTTTCCCATTTTGTTTTATATAAGAACAGGAAGAAAGCACAGGGACTTATATCTAGTCAAAAGGGTTGGTGGTCACTCTGTTCTACATTCTCTTACTTCAAAAACACCAATACGGTATTGCTTTTTTGGATGAAGTGTTCGTAAATTATCTGGATGCCATTCGACTTTTTACTTGGACGGGTTTTCATGTCAAATCTTTTGACAGGCTTAAGTACTTTGTCTCTGTAAAACTTGTCTGTGATGGTTTTGCCTTCTTCGCAAGGTATCTGAACAACGGGACTTCTAGCATGACGTACCTTTTTTCATACGTCCTATAATCACTGTCCTTCTTGTTATTTTTCGACAACCACTGCTTGTTATTTACGCGCCTGTTGGCTTCAAAGTAATAGACACAGGACTCATACGCTGTAAGTAACTCAGATAGCTTTCTTGAGTCGCAATTTTCAATATGTTTTTAGTACAGTGTACATATTAAAACGTTTGGCCTTTTGTTCAGGTGTCAGCAAATAGGGGATCAATCCAGCATAGAGCGCTTTTAGTTCCAAGCACTTGGTCAGAATGCGATGTGTACTGCCTTCGGAAATACCAACCATATGAGCTATCTCAGAAACATTAAAACGACCATAGTCCTTAAAAACTATTTTTCTTTGACGCTGCAACAACTGGCCTGTCTGGTCGGACTTGTTTCCTCTATTATGTCGACTTACCCATTTCTCGAATCGGTTCACCTACCTGGAGACATTTCTCAATATGACGGTTGTTGTGCCCTTTATACTGCATACTTCTTCATGTATCGGTTATAGTGGTAACTGTTAAACACATCGTGCAGGACCGTATTTCAGATTTAGTCTCAACCTTCCTCATTCCGCATTCAATAATGATTAATATTTCATTTCTTGTCGAATGATGTCGAAATATTACACGTGCATTGATCTTTAAATGCGCTTACAGTTTGCTGAAGCCCTAATTTGTTTATCGCCCGTTTTGACGGGAGCTGTGTGGTAACAAAATTTATAGATTGGTCCTCGTATCTTTCGATTATTGGTAGTTGTTGTTTTCGTCATTCGTGATTAATATCATAACATCAAAATAAGATCAACATGTCGGATGTAGTCGTTGAACCGCAAAACGCTTCCCCTTCCACAGTAACAGGTATTATCCTTCTATTACTCGTTCAAGGGTTTCCAAGTAAATCTTTTTTTCATTTATACTTTGCCCTTGATTTATCTATTTTGAGTCAGAAGTTTGGTTTTGTTGACAATTCAGTATTCTGTTTTGGTTTTATGTTTATTCTAAGGCAACAATAAAACATGTACGAATGGTATAGGAAACATGGAGTTTTAGCTCAGATTTTTAATTTCATTCAATACAACATGATACAAAATCATAAAAAGACTATCTTCATATACATTTATTTAAATATGCATTTAAGTGAAAATGATTACTAAATCGTTATTTATTGTCTGATGTGTGATTATCCAACAGGTATCCGACTTAGCGAAGGCGTTGGACGATCCAGTGGCGGCACAGGGAGAAGAACTAGGAGCTAATACATCTAAAGCTTGTGTCTTACAATAATTTTACAATCGTGACACTCACATTCGTTTATACCCTTCATGGTCTACAATTACCGCAATAGTATGACGATTATAACTAGGACCAAGTTATTTCATTATTATTCATCTTTTTGGCCTTCTGTCCGACTATTTGGTAATAAAACCCAAGATTATTTGCAAGACGAGGATAGAGTGTTCCATTTTTTTTTTGGTTTCTAGAGTATCTAGTGAAAAGGACAACGGTAAAATAACTTGACCAATAGAGACGTATTCTGTCAACTACAACCCCATGCACTAATGTCCGGTAGGAGGATTACTATAGGACCTAGTATGGATAAATAGCCCCTCTGGGTGATAATAGGGAAAGCACAACGTGCATTTATTGATTTTTTTATTGACATTTTAACAAAGTTTCATGGTGAAAATAAGGTGTCACTTAGAGCAGAATTAAAAACAACTGATTTTTATTACATTGTACTGATGTTATATCGTAAAAACAAATCTAAATAATTGGTTTTGACTAATTTAATGTTTTTAAAGGATATTGAATTTATTTGAACTGCGAAATGAAACATGTCATATTTTGCTGCCCCTCCTGTGACCCCTAATATCTCAAAATATGTCAAACGGAAATAATTCAATAATAACAATGTATAGCAATTTATGTAGGTCTGGTGTAAACGCATCGTCATCAAAAATTAAAATGCGTATTGGTGTTGGTCTATAAACGACCTATTATTGCACCATCCCTTTCACTTAACCCTTTTCATACATAAATAGCGAAGTTAAATTGACTTTTACCTTAATGTTTTTATTTATTACATTTATAATAGAAAGATTATAAACGACAATCAACATTATGATTACATTTTTGTTCCTGCGTGACAAGAATTGTCTAGACCAAGTAGTCAGTACAGGTAGCAGGTGTTGTAAATGCGTACGAAGGTTTGAGAGGTTTTTGTCCATTCAAGACAGTATTTTGTCCATTCAAGTGCCCTTAATGACTTACATTGTCGATGGGCCGTTAAACAATACAAAAACAATTGTGCATCAAGAGAGCTATTTGTGAAGAGGATATTTTTGTAAATAAAGAAAAAAGAAAAAAAAGGCTGCATTGTTAATAGTGTTTTCCCTACTACATTGTATAATTAGGTTAGACAGGAACTATAGTTGTGAACGCTTCTAGCAGCATTACCTGTGTAAGTTTATACTACTTTGTTAAATGCGTTAGCAACTAATTAGGTTTGTTGGAGAGTGTCAGTCTTCCTCTCTCTCCTCTATCTATCGAAACTTTCTAGCTATAGTCATTGACTCGATTCATTTGGTTTATTGAAAAAAGGAACTGATGCTTTTCCTCCTAATATTGTACAAAACCGACTCACGAAAACCAGTTTGATACTAACATAAACAACAAAATAACTCTAATTTTATATATCGTAAAGCGTAGTAAAGGTAGTGTTTTAAATGTATTTTGATACCGCTTATTCGTGCATTGCGATCAATCACATATATATTTGAGGCAAAAAGCAAAAGAACTTTTGGAAATAAATAGATATACAGACATTAGCTGATTTTATGAAAGACTAAGGAATCCATAACTCATGTGAACATTATATCATCAAATAAATATTCGCTACAGCAAGACTGTCTTTCTTTGTATCGTACTGAATACGTGGGACAGGAATGTATATGATCGAATTGAAGAAATAGTAATAAAATAAAAAAATACGTATTAAACTCCCTTGCATTCAGTATTGATAAAACAAGCTATTTATTGGCAAAATATTCTTTGGAATCATATAGTTGATATATTGAATGACTTTGAACTCACAGCTGTAAGCAAAACATCTCAAGGCATAAACATTTAAATGGGTTCATATTAAATTATTCTCTCAGTGTGTGATTTAAAACATGCATATTCATGCAAGTGTCATTTTTCAAGTTGCTTTGAAAAGAGCTCGGACAATATCTGTGGCACTGATCAAGCCATGTTTGCACTAGGGGTTAGATAAGGGGAATCTCAACTGAAGGGGGTAGATTCTTAAGGTGTCAAACACGAGATTTTGTCGAGTGTTGGGCAACTAAGGATTTTTTCCTGGAGGGTTGAGATTCCTTTATCTCACCCTGAAGGGGGTAAAAACAAATATTTCTTTTACCATGTTAACCTATTGTGTATCATATGCATAATATAAAGTTAACTTTGCATGGTTGACGTGACCTCATTCCATTGTTATTAATAGTGGAATCCCCCCTCTCAACCCTAGTGTGAGAAAGGGATTTATCTTACCCTGGACAGGTGTATCCGCCACTTTTACCGGTGTGAGACATCCTTGTCTCACCCTAGGGTTAAGCCTGCGACGTTAACATTATATTTATATATATGATACATAATGGGTTCAAAATCAGGAAGAAATACAAAAAATATAACATTCGTCATACAAAATATATAAATTATGTCTCAAGGATTTGTACACAAAATCCCTTAGGTCTGACACTGTCAAATACAAAACTTAATGGCATTTGTAAAACAACATATTGAAATCAGTTATTGGTCGAGACCAGCCATTAATAAAGTTGCTATCATCATAATAAATATTACGCACATGAAGTAGTATTAACAAAAAATGAACAGAATAATCTTGCCAGAATTTGACATAAAACAGCATCATACGTGTCCGCGCATGCGTGACATTGTGTAAAATTATTGAATTGTTTATGACACGTAAAATAATTAACTTTTATTTTATATCTTTGTTACATTTTTCACGTCCCGTGTTTCGAATAAGGGAACGTTAAAAACCTATCTAAGAACTTCTTTCTTAGGAAATGTTTATCCTACTGATAAAAAAACAAGACAGACGTTTAGCGGCACAGTAACGTAAGAAGATCCTTGTGAACACAAACATTCGCAAATCCTGTATACACGTACCGCACACGACGGATCTTTACTTGGTCTAACTTGCATGGCACATATCGATCCCCATTTCAATGCCTATATATGTATATTAGGTCTCAAAGATACTTACCCCTAAAACAATCAATCTGTACAAACTTTGTATTGTCATGTTTATGATGCACTAAAGCAAAAAGCAATAATTTATCTTTTCTCAGAGTGTTTGAACGACCCTTTTAAAGTCAATAATACGAGATTTATACTTGTACTGTAGTTAAATATATTACATGTAAACGTGTTGAACTATTATAACGATATATGTATGCTGAGTAACGGTCTTTTGGCACAGTTACAACTTTACGGTCAAATCTGGTTGTGATTAGAATAAGTTGGAAAACAGCCAGTTATGAACTTTCGTTTGGTTTTATATGGTTTAGCGTTCTATTATACTGCAAATACACCGAATTACTGGAATTACTTCTAGCAATCACACACTGGAGTTCGTTTGTTGTCTTTGAGAACAAGGACATATACGTGTATGTGATCGCTACTCGGCCTTGTACTTGATGATCTATAAAAAAGAATAGCAAATAGAGCGTTGTTTTTGCCCTATTACATGCAATTGTGTTTAAGTTATATTGCAACCGCTTTAAATACATACTAATTTGCAAATATGTGGGAATTTATATAATTAATGCATGGCGTTTGTAATGAACAAAAAGCTCTGCATTATAGGCTAGACTGCCTACTTGGATACATTACGTACCTGCATTATGTGGCTCTTTTGTATTATTTAACCGCGCTCGATATACCTGCCAGCTAACGTATTGATATATATACTTTACATTATTGCATGGGTACACATATCGTCAATGGTTGTATAGTGAACACACACACACACACACACACACACACACACACACAATAGTGTCAATATCATTTGCAGCAGTTAACGTGACTGAAACATATTAGGTGAAATATTTCACTTGAAAGCCTAACCAGATCGTCTGCTATGCAGACTACGGTTGCTACACACATGTAATATTAAATATACCTAGTCTTTACCACGCTTCCTAATGAAGTATGGTCATCATTATTTCATTTTATTGAGTTTTGAAAAATCATCTTAAACAAACCTGTTCTTTTGTTCATTCCATTAAACAATGATCCAATTGTTCGAAGCATCACTCACTTTACTTGATTTGAATCCTATGAATTGATTATTAAAGTCAATGTTTTGTAAATGAAACCGTATCACTATTATAAGACATAGAAACATCTTATCTGTTATATGTACATAGATACTTACACGACAACGACACAAAAGCAAATTGTAATCCTAAAATGTAATAGCATTCAAATTATAATAAAAATGTACAAAAAAATGAAAATGACCAAAGCAGTTAATGCATAACACAGTTCTTAACAAATGATTTATACTCAGGTTAACATGTATCATCATTTTATCTTACTTACATGCAATGCATTGAAACATATACACAAATCGTATTTGGCTTGTTCCCTCCAAACGGAATGGTAGTCATCCTATACATAATCCGAAGTGTAAGTACGGTCATACAGTATGAGTCCTATTCGGATACATGATAATCAAAAGTGGATTATATCACCATTGTCTATGTAAGAATGAGCAGAACATAAATACACATAATTGCTTTTTTTTCAAACGGAACATCACATTTTTAAATTGAAATATTTACAATGTTACAGTATGTTTTCAGCAGTCAGACAGGTAAGAGTTTGCAGCATTACTCCCCACACATCATTTACTCCACATCGTCACACTCTTTTTCCTTTTTTATCCGATGATTTTCCAAAAAATACAGTCCGACGAAAAATGTTTATGCCGCACTACAGGTTTATGATGTGGTGACCACTGCGACATCTGCACACCGCAGTAAAAGCATAATACTTTGTCAGAGTTTCCAGAATAAAACAAACCTGCCGCTGCCAAGTCGGCAGGATGCTGTTGAATTTGAGGAGGCCAGTGCCGGAAAGATTTCATTCTCTCTGCATGAAAGAAATATTCGGGGTGAAGAGGTTTATCATCTGAATATTTCCATTCCATGATTCAATTAAAAGATTCTATAACTGATCAGTCTGTGGATTGTATAAACAATATAACTCTGACTGCATTCATAGTTTCTAGACGTGTTATGCAACTCGTGAATGTAAATTTTCTGTTATTTTTTAACAAAACAAAAGTTCTTTAAATCCTTTCAAAGTTGCTTCTGTTTTTAGCGCCAATCAAATAATTGAATACCCCTTCGTTGTGCATCAAATATGATATCTCTTATCAGTGGAATCCGCACAGTAGACTAACTCTCTTACAATCTTCTTATAAAGGGATAATTACAAATGACAATGTACGTCATATAGTGCACAAATGGTTATTTATAAAATGGAGGGAAACGTGGAAACATCATCTTAATCAGATGTTAAAAATAGCATTTTGCACACAGGATTGTTATTTCTTGGATGTTGCCCATGTGCGTAAACATGATTAAATAACTTGGAGAACAGCCAATGTTCCGTGCAACATATGGGGAATCACCTAATCAAGGGCCAATGACTTCGCAGTGAATTTATCTGGTCGCCTTCAATTCAATGGTGACATGGAAATGCGTAAACATGATAAAAAAAACTTGGAGAACAGCCAATGTTCCGTGCAACATATGGGGAATCACCTAATCAAGGGCCAATGACTTCGCAGTAAATTTATCTGGTCGCCTTCAATTCAATGGTGACATGGAAATACTTACACATACACATATTTGAAAATATGGGGAATCACCTAATCAAGAGGAAAATGTCAACCCGCAGAAGTTCGTTATTTGTTGTGGGAACAGTGTATGTGCTGGTCGTCAGACTTGGTGTTATACTGCATCTTTTGGACCAAATTTAGTTAGAGACATCATTTTGAGCACCCTTACCTTTGTATATTGCATTAATATTAGCTGATTTCCAAGAAAGAGGTATAATACCAGATTCAATAGTCTTGTTACAAAGTTAAGTTAGAGGACATAATAGAGAAGGTGCTAATTTCTTTATTATCTTGGGTATCATGCCATCTGGCCAGGAGGTATTTTATCATTATGTAAACACAGTTGATCCTTAATGTCCTCTTCAGATATAATGATATTGTCTAAAAGGAAGGGAAAAGTTATTTCATGGGGGCTAAGGGGTTCAAGATTTTCAGAAGAAGTTGATATTGAGCTGAAGTAGTTATTTAGACATTCTGCTTTTTCAAATGGATGATGTATTAAGTTGTTATTTTCAGAAAGAGGAGGAAGACAAATTGATACATTATTTGAATTTATGACATATCTAGCAATTTTCCACCACTATTAGGAGGCACAGATTGGTCACTAAGCGATTGTTGTAATTTTTCGTAATAAGTGTGTTTAGTTTCTCTGACATGGTCTTCTACTTTATTTCTAGTCTTTCTGAAATTTTCCCAACAGCTTTTTTATGTAATCTATTTCTCTGTCTAATTTTTGCCTTATAATATTCCTCATCCAAGGTTTATCATTAGGGCGAACAGTTATAATTTTGGATGGTAAATACTCTTCTATTTGATTATTAATAGAATCTGTTAAAAAATTATTAAACTCATTCGAGTCAAGA